CTGGGCATACTTTGGACGCAAAGCCACTGAACAGCCAGCATCATGAGCGTGAGCTGACTGTACTTTGGACGCAAGGCCCTTCAACAGCAATCGCTTTGCGTTCTACATGAACCTTTCTCATGCTGCGTCACATTCTTAGGGGTAGTATGCTCTTATTTCTGGACAGGGCTCCAAAGAGGTTCTGACTCGGGCCTCGCTTTTCGGAAGTTTTTTGGAAGTACACATAATCAGGGTTACGTATTTATATATATATATATACAAATATGGATATAGAAACATGAGACTGGACGGAGTACGCGAGAAAGAGAAAGAGAGAGAGAGGCGGAAAGCCACGGGTCTTGGGAAATCCGCAAATAATGGCCCAGCAGGTATTCCCCAAACCTGCTGCGCCTTTAGGACCCCCAAGTACCCTCCATCAATCAAAGCCCGGGTACTCACTAGTAGGACCTGCGCTGAGATCCTAAACCCTAACAGGCTAAATCTCCAAAGCCTCCTAAATCCTCCTACAACCCCAAACCACCTAAAGACCTAAGCCCGTATGACCCTAAAACCCCCCGGCCTTCGCAGGCATGGAACCTGCCAGGGAGCAGGTTAAGGTCGAAGGACCCCGAAGAGGCAAAGCAGCCTTTCCAAAACTCCTCTTAGTCTTAAACTTGATATTTCTGGGGTGGGGTTAGGCTTTAGGGATTTAGGTTGTAGGGATTCAGATGTTTTATTAAAGTGTATTTCATGGGTTCATGGAAGGTTTTCTCACCAATGGCAACACTGCCATGTGTGGGCGAGCTAGCTTATGAGTTTTCTGGCATCATAGACATGGTTTAAGAATGAGCCCAGGCTTGCTCCGCGAGTATAGACACACTCAAGTTCAAGCTTGGAGTACTTTTTTCTTGCAAAGATGACAGCAGAATGCCTTCGTTGTTTGCTAGCTAGTAGGAAGGCGCAAGACTGGCGAAAGTTGATCACTCTGCTCATTAAGTTAAGTATGTACATATATATATATATGTGGGGTGATGGGAGGCCCATCCACAAAAGGAAAGCCAGAGCAGAAAACCATTACCAGATGTCGGCTGCATTAGCCAAGTTATCTAGGTCAAAGGGTTGCCGCTGCATGCGATGCTTTGAAATGCTGTGCGACCATGTGATTCTCTTGCCCAGTGATGTCTTGCTCGCATTTTTTTACAACAAGTAAGAGTAAGAAAGCATGACGTAAACTCTATAATATTCCAGAATCGCGTAGCCGGCAGAATGCAAGACAGTGAAACTAATCTCCCTACCGACTTGGTGAATATGCTGCGCGTTTTATACAGAAGTCTCACAATGGAGGATTGCATTTCTTATTCGGATCTTGCTAGGGCTCAAAGTCACACATCTAAAGTCTGCACGGTAAACGCTCAGTCAAGTCCCAATTCTGCGATCAAGACCCCATAATCCCTGTGGTCTCAAACTGCCAAAACTGAAAATGGCCGAGTCCGCGATGCAGGGCGCTTTCAAATGGCTCTCGCGCTTATGGCTGTCTCTGCCATCCTCCTTGGATTAGCATCCTGCCTCACGATACATGCGTAGATGGTTTAATCACCTAGTTACGTTGCATGTAGCGTTACCATTCAGGGGATAGGGCGTCTACAGTCTACTGTACAGAGACAAACACATGTGGACAGTTTCGGAAATTCAGGTCCAGTTCCGGTACTGTAATTGGTGCCGCAGTTCCTTTGACAACAACCCGCATTTGGGGTCGGTCTGCATGTTGGTTGCGGAGGGGTCATTCAAGGGCTCATACACAGAACGGCACAAGAGCTATGTAAAGCCGATGGTTAGACACGCCACACGGTTTGGGCATGCATACGTCATAGTCGCGGCAGAGATGGCCTTCGAAAAGAACACTCACGTAGGGTGCATGCCTCGCGAAGCATGTTTCGCTCTTGTGGTTTATGGTAGGGAACAGATGGTAGCTCGCGCTCGCAGTGTGGTGGAAACAAACGGGAACTGCTAGATGATGAGGATGAATGAGCAATGCATGGCGTAGCTCTCCCCAAAGTTGCTGATCGGCACATGGCCAAGCATCTTGACCCAGGTATCTAGATTCGGAGCCTCAGGATCCCTGCTCCTTGGCTATCAAACTAATGATATTTGTGAGCGAAGCTGTTCTTGAAAGCGACCTGGAGTAAAGGGATGTGAGCAAAGTTATTGGTTGTGCTTTGCGTGAAGTCAAGAGGCTGTAGGCTTGCAGGTTGTGGACATCTTCAGCTTTTGTTCATGCGCAACTCGCAGGGTGCCTTACACACGACTGAGGAGACTGGTAATTATTTGTAATGAGGACTTCGGTGGCCGGCTGCAGGCTTCAGAGACCCCTGCATCTTTGGCTAAGCGTTTAATGCCGAAACGCGAAGCTCTACTTATCAAAGCCTTGCGCTGCCCAGCATCTTGTTCGCACCTTAGCCTTTAACTAGTAGCTCCAGCAACTGCGGCGACCCAACATGGGGGCATGAATGGCAAATATTGCTGGCAACACCTCCCTGCGTGCTGCCATTAACAAAATGCTTCCAAACATATGGCCCGCCAAACCATTCTGTCTCTCACCCACACCAGCAGATAAAGCATGATCGAACCAGTCTGCCGCAACAGGAACCCCGCCTGGAAAAGAAAACTCTAGCAGCCTACAGTGAGCCTCCTTCCCAACTCCTTCCCCGCGTTCCTGTGGCAGTACACATTGCCAACATGTCGGGTCCGGCTTTCTTCAAGTGTATGACACGGCTCCCAGGCACATTATTCGGGGCATGGGAAAGATAATTTGGAATTTTGAAGATGGAAAAGAAGTTGGCCAGAAGGCGATGATTCACACCCCAAAAGCAGAAACATATTCTCAAGAACGAAAAAAGGAATGAAACCCCTTGATATCCCCTTGCTGCAGCATGCCCAGCGGCATGTGACCTGTTCAAGGCATTCCGCGAAACACCTAGATCTGTTTCTAGACCACTGCAGTCTTGCGGAGAGAGAAATCTTTGAGAACCCCTTGCAGGGGATCCTTGTCATCATGGGTTTCCCCCCCTTAAAGAACTTGATTTCGGCTTAAGTATCCCTAAATAACCTGAATGAAGGGGGAACCTAGGGGGGGTGATGTCACAGCTTGCAGAGGCCTTGGCCACAAAGAGAGGCGGACGGCCGCAGTTTGCGGGCAAACGCCGCCCCAGAGGAGGTGGGCACATAAGTGACCTTCTTTACTATACATGAGGTTTTGTCTAAACTCCTGAAAGGGGATTATATAGGGGACCACTATAGGGGATATTACAGGGGATACTGGGAGTTTAGACTATGGCTCACATGGGAACTCTAGAGGGATTGTACAAGGTTTTAACATACAGGATTTAGGGGGAATACTGGAGAACGAAATGGAAAAGACAAGGCCCTCCTAGTTCTGGGAGAGGATAACATGAGCATATGGCAGTCGAAGCCTGAATAGTTTGCAAATCAACTTCCGTGCAATAGCTACAGGATGACATGCCATAAAACCTCATACAATAGGGAGCACTTGGGCTAGTCCTCAAACCCTAAGCTCTAGAGCCAGCCCCACAGCCTTAACCCCAAGCCTAGCTCCATTCGAGACTTTTCGTGGAGTTCTGGTGTCACCAAGCTATACACTCCCTAAAACCCCTAGCTCCAGTCAGGAAGAACCCTAAACCTCTACAAAAATCCCTAGCCCAAGTCAGGAAGATCCTTTGTGGGGTTGTGGTCTGCTGGGGAAGATCCCCGGCATCTCCGAAGATGGACCCTCGGCTTAGGATATTATTATTGCTACTACTATTATTATTGTCATTTCGATATTGGTTATTAATATTGCCTGCTTTTACTACTACACGACGACGACGACGATACGACGACGACGATGACGACTGAGCCAGGAGTAGATCTGCCAAAAACGAGGTGTCTCGAAATGAGGGAACCCATAGGTTCCTCTAAAGGCTTTATAACAAGCAGGAACAGAGACTTTGGGGCTTCGGGTCTAGGATTTAATCTGTCCAGGGACACTTAAAAGCAAGGTTGAAGTTTCAGCCCAACTGATAGACGAACCACTTAGCCCTCTCTCTCAATGGAACTCCGCAAGCGAAGGACATGCTGCGCCGGAGACGCAGCGGTTCATTGAAGCGCTCAAACTGAGCAGCTCGTTTAACAAGGCAGGATCCGTTGAAATCCCTGCCCCTGAATCATGCATGCTCCTGATATTCGATGCTCGTATTTTTCAACTGCGAAGCACCCCGTCGCAGAATTGATCGTGGACTTGAAGTTGATGAAGTTGAGTGCCCCTGGCCAGGTGATGTATTGGAATTGGAACTTGGCGCCCGAGGACCCCCTGACCTCAGACTTCATCTTTATGCCTGAGGTGTGGGGGTCGGGCGTGGTGAGCCTTGATTGCATATAACATCTGAAGTGCTCATTCTCAAAAATAACAACAAGCACAAATGCTCAGCGTACCCTTGCCCAAGGCAGGGCGCCCTCAACCAAACACCCTGAGCCTTACTTAAAACCTTGAAGCTAAAGCCCTAACATCCTAAACATTGCAATCTAAACCACAAACGTCTAAACCTTAAATTCCAACACCTATATAAACCCAGTTTCCATTTCATGTTCCCTTTTCTTTCTCCTTTGAACCTCCAGGAACTGAGATGGGTCTCCCCAAATCCTAGATAGTAGTTTCCATTTTCTTTTCCATTACCCTATATAGAACCTCTAGAACCAGGTATAAACCCTAAACCCTTCATGATAAACCAAGAACGGGTCTCCCGGAACCCTAGATAGTAGTTTCCATTGTCGCTTCCATTACACCTATATAGCCGCTATAGAACAAGGTGTAAACCCTAAACCCTAAACTTTTACCCCAAACGTAGATAGTAGTTGCCATTTCCTCCATCCCTACATAGCCAGGTATAAGCCCTAAACCCTAGTAGTACCCAAGATCCAATATCGAGGTAACATCCCTATGAACCCCTATATACCCCTTTAAGGGACCTAGGGTTTCTATTTTCATTTTCCATTTGAAGCTCCAGGAACCAAGAATGGGTCCCCCCAAGTCTTAGACAGTAGTTTCCGTTTTCTTTTCCATTTCCCTATGTAGCCCCTATAGAACCAGGTATAAAGCCTTAATCCTAAACCCTAAACCGTGAACCCTAAATCCTAGACCTTGAACCCTGAACCCTAAACCCTGAACCTTAAGCCCTGAACCCTAAACGAGCTCGGCTGAATCCAGCCATTTCTACCTTTGGATAGAAAAGGAGCCATTGCAAAAAAAGAAAGAAAACCCTTAAACCCTAAACCCCTAAACCTTAAACCCAAAAATGAGGAACCAAGAAAGGGTCCCCCCAAACCCTAGATAGTAGTTTCCATTCTCCTTCCTAACCTTCAACCCAAAGATAAGGAACCAAGAGTGGGTCCGCCAAGCTGACACCACGAACTTCGAAGATGGCCATGGGAGGCGATCGCCCGCAACGATGTCCAACGTGATGATGCTCGTACCTTCCAAGGTGGATATAGGGGTTCTGTAGGGGTTCTATAGGGATAGAGAGGTTCTAGAGGGATATATAGGGTCCTATAAAAAATATACTGGAGTCCTATAGGGATATAGAGGTTCTATAGAGGGTCTACGGGGATATGTAGGGATATATAGGGTTTAGGGCTATAGAGATATGGGGTTTCGGGCTTAGGGTTTGCAACCTGATGATGCTCGTAAATTTCTGGGTGGATATAGGGTAATGGAAAAGAACATGGAAACTACTGTCTAGGGGCTGGGGGGGCCCAAATCAGGTCTAGGGCTTAAGGTTTCCAACTTGATGATGCTGGTTTTGGTTGCTATGAGGGGATTCCAAAAATTAGTGGTGTCTTTTTGAGCCCCTATAATACGGATTACAGTACTTTGGGGTCTATATCAGGGCCTCCTTATATATGGAGACTACCATCAGTTTGGTTTTTAGTTGAGGGGCTTCCAAACCCGGGGATCCCTGAGAAGGAATTTGATGTATCTACGGGTATACGGTATACATACCGTACATGGGCCCTAGGTTGTGCAAACCTCTATCTAGTGTTGAAGGTTTGGCATTTTCGCTGGGCGGTGAGTGAAGATGCTTACTTCGGAAGTCCATCAATTTTCTGCTCTTCCGTTTTGATCTGCTTTCTTTGGGGCTGGCTTACTCTCGGAGATGTTCCTGGTACGTCCAGAAGATCTTGGTAAATTCCAAAAGCTTGTAAGCTTCGGCAGTTGGCGATTTCAGTCAAGTTCCTCGCTATAGGCTATGAATGTTTCGGTTTTTCTGCGCGTTGGAGACACAGGGATCTAAGAAGAAACCCTAGCTACAAGCGTGATCGCCAAGTGTCCACCAGCAACAAGGCCTGGGAGGCTCACGAAGGGTTACCACACTTCAGGTTTTCCGAGTGAGGCACGTCCCAAAATCGCGAAGTTGTAGTAACCCTGAATCCATCAGCCTGGATCCTATTACTTATCGGTTGACATGGCAAGGGATTACCAGAATCTACAACTGCGTAATGCATTACAGGCTCATTAACATTGAAGCCCAAAAGGGACCAGAGGGGTAATGTAGATTTTCCTGTTTCTTTTGGGTAGCGTGGCCCCAGACAAAGGATGGGCATGAATGAGCCCGACATCCAGGGAAGCTGCATGGGCAACATGTTTGGCAGGTGCGTCAAGCGCCTCGCCGAACTAACGATTTGGATTCGATTTACTTTAATTTCTTGTTGTTCGGGCAGCACACATACCTGTTGTTTGCATATGCGGAAGATGCTTGATTAAGAGCGCTCTCTGGGCTTACGAAGCTTGATATTCGCAGTGGTACGTCGGCTCGTCTTATGGCGAAACAAGCATTATATATGCCTTTGCAGTGGATGGGCGGAGGTCTAAGCTAAGTTAGGGTTGGACGGTTTGAGCAGCTCTTGGGAGAACTCAGGGGGGGTGTGGTGTGCCAAATGGAAAAGACATGGATGTCACACGGTCTCCAATATGGAGAAGGCCGTCTCCTTCTATGAAATGAGGTTGATATCCCCAGACGATCTTTCGGGGCCCTTCAGTCTTGGGCACGGACAGTTCCGGCGTGTGTTTCTTCAAAGGCAAGGCCCAGTCCTAAAGCTGCTATGCAAGCCATCACGTTATGTTAAGTGCTGGTGGATATGAGGCCATGCGACGACCTCGCCCGCAACAGTCATGATTGTCCCAGAGCCGACCTTTTGATGCAGATGGTTCAGGGCTATCAGATCAGGATCCCTGATAAGGATTACACGTAGTCAGAAGGAAGCCCAGGACAAAAATCCGCGACGCTGACGAGCTTCTTGTGTGAAAGTTGCATGTAACCCCGGAAGCTCCCCTCAAGGAGTTTGGTAGTGGCTCATGTAGGCTACAAATATAACAGCCCCCCAAATCTGGGAATGATGCAGATGCAGTCAGCCAGCTTGCAGCAATATAGCATAGAGCACGGGTTCATATTGTCCTTACAAGTGAGTAGTTCCCAAAATTAGGTTCCCATTTTTGTACCCCCTAGATCTTAGATGCCGCAATAGAATCTATAACCAAAAGTTGAGAACACCCCAAGTAGCAGTGCTAGTTAGCGCCCAGCGTGAGCCCTAAGTGAATACATAAGACATTCGAGGGGCTTACGGGCATGGAAATTGAAGGACCATGTTCTGAGGCGTTCCCATACTTGCAGCTATGGGAATCGAGGAGCACAGCAAAATCAAGCAGCTAGGACCTAGGATTACCAAGAGAACCGTGCCCGTTAAATGTTCCATTGCCGGAGCTCCCAAATGCAATCCTAAGCCCCAAACTCTCCAGAATGCCACCGTGAAAGCCGGGGCTTTGAGGAGCCGGATGTCAACTTGCCGCCAGCAAATGCCAACTCCAGAGGGATGTGCAGCCTTCCAAAATTTTGGGGCTTAGGACCTGCTGAGCGCTCAGCCATGTTCAGTCCTTCTGTTTTGGGGTGTGCCAATCCAGCAATTGGACGGTTCAGTCAGGTTCAGTCATGGCAGGGATTACAAGGCCAGAAATGTCTTTGCTCTACGCAGGCCAATCAGGAATCATCAATGACAGCGCGGACTGGCTTTGTCGTAATCGGATTTTGTTGTTTGAGCAGTGCGGTAAGTGCCACCTGGTTATGGATCCTTTTGTGCTCATCCATCTAGCAATCTAGAATATGCTACGACGATTGCCATATTTGGGGGATAGAGCCTCCGTCACAAAATGCGTGTTTTTTTCTACGGCACCAAACGACCTCTACAAGGGGGATTTGGGGGAAGCAGCGCAGGATCGGACTGGAAGTAGTGTTCGGATTTTGCGCAGCCGCACCAGAACTGCCCCTTCAGGGCTGCTAGGAAGCTGTGTGTGTGTGTGTGCTTTTTGCAGGGGCCGGGCGGAGACGTCATGAAAGGACTCATTCTTTGTTACAAAGAACATGACATAAATGGGATTCCCTCTGTAGGTCAAGGGAACCCGCACATGGTAAAGAAAGAGAACCCGGCGAGGTCTTCAAGTCTAGGCAAACACAAGCTGCTCACCACCTGGTGTTCTGAAGAGACCCGGTGGATGATAACGATTGTGTCACAGGGCTTTAATATGAAATATTATGGAGTGACATTGGGGCTACCATAGGGATTCTCACCCAAGCACCAGGCAATCATGAAATGTTCGGGGCACACAGATCAGAGTGTTTCGACGTCGCCACTGGCACGCGATGTGTATAGAAATTCCTTTATATGGTCCTGACAGTGCCGGCATACAGAATTTCACGGGCCCGCCATAACCATAATCCCATTGTAACCCTTATTTTGAGAGACCTCAGATCCACCGTCGCCGAGGCAACTGCTGGGAGAGCTCCTATGCTACTTGGATCACATTTGGACAACATTTCAATTGGAAATTCTGTAGGCAAAATCGCCCAAGGCGAAGTCTTTCAACTGTAACAGTACCATCTCTCTTCTGGCGCTGGACTCTAAGGGGATCCCCCTCCCTTCCGACACTTGATGGCCCGCTGGCAAGTAGCCTGTTTTGAAGATATAGGTGTATAACATACATTCATATGTTAAGTAGCATGTTTCGAAAGCATATGCACATAACCTACATGCAAATACATATATATATATATGATTTGTTAATACATGTTCTCCCATGTAGAGCTATATATATATACATATACAGAGGTGCACGTCAATATATACAGTTGTATATACAAAGGCATGTGCATATGTGTAAACATACATGTGCAACAGGGCACATACATAGCCCCCGTGTATATTCCGAAATGTATGTGAGCATATATATTTATGTATATACATATACATACATAGACATTCATTCCTGTACATTTAAGATGTGCATCACCTAGGACCCCCTTACATAAGTTATCCTTTTTGCCCGAAGATGGCTTTTCCAGGCCACAGGCGTGGGGTTCTGGCCAGTTGGTGGCTGCTCAGCGCTGCAGCCGCTGCCTGACCTTTGGCAACAGGAGCCGCATCCTGGCCTACCTGGGGCTATGTGCACTATAGTCGAAACTCCTTAAAGGGGTTATAGAGGTTAGTAAGGGGGACACTAGGAGTATAGAGCATAGCTCATGTGATGGCTATATAGGAGTATATAGAGGTATCTTAGGAGTATATAGAAGTATCTCGGGGTTGTCAGGGTGTGTGGGGGCTAGATGGTAGTACATCGGGGAATGGAGGAGAAACTGGAAACTCTTTTTTTTATAGGACAAACGTGCACGGTTTTACCTGGGATTGGATATGTATATGCATCTACAGTACGTATACTAGGTGTGTTTACATATACATGTAAACATAAACCGTGCTTGTGTAACCTAGCCGCACACAATCCCGACATCTCTATTGACCAAGGGTTTAGGATATCAAGGTTCAAGGTTTGGAGGCTCGAGTTTCTAGCTGGAGAGGTGATATGAAGACATATGTATACAGTGGCTTGTAGAGTTGAACCGGGAAGCAGAGGGTTTGTAGGGCTGATAGCTGGGTGTTGATGCCGTGGACCCACAGAGACACATTTTTTAGGTTTTGAAAAGGAGCTAGATCTATGGTGCGCATGGAACGGAACTGCAAGTTTTTGTTCGCTGAGGCACTGCATCGACACCGTCATAAACAACTGGAGACGGACAGCACAGATAGCGACGCAGAAAGGCTACAAGTACCTCTCAACTCCTTTGTTGGCAGTGCCTCGGATTTCCCGTGATTTTTGTGGACGTGCCCGCCGACCTTCATGGAGGTTTCAAAGGTTGCAGCTATTGTATTTCAACCCGCCTCCCCCCGTTGGATATTTAGCAAGTTATGTATTTCGTTTCATGACAAATACGCTAGCAGCAACTACGGGAAGCAAGATGTACAGTATGAATTGCTCACTTCAGACAACTTCGGGAACCCTGGCTAGAGCCGTCGCTTGTTGCTTTTAGTCCTCCCCCCTAATGTAGACTCATGATGAATAACCCCCCCCTCCTTTTAAGGGCCTAGATATTAGGATCCTTATTGGGGTTTATTCCATCAGCAGTCGGGGGTACCCCTTCTTGGCCTCTAAACCTTGGCTGTGCATCATGCTTCGAAGAGTCATCCGTCTGACTGAGAATTCTGGGGAGTCCTTAGGAATCATTTTTAATTTGTATCATACTAGAACCCTAAGGAATTATAGAGAACATTATTTCCATTCTAGGTCTAAGGAGACTACAGCATTCTGGGGAGTCCTTGTTGTGTCCACCCTGGCTGACAGGTACTCCCAACAGGGGAGCATGATTGATTGTGTACAGAAGGTGGCAAATGAGGGTTTCCAAATTTGGCTCCGTTAGGATTGCGGTGCTTTACGTTAATTTCATGAGCGGCGCCTGCATGATTGGAAAGTGCTCAGATGGCTCAACTTGGCGTTGCAAGCCTAGGTATATGTGAGCTATGCGGAGAAGTTCATCGAACATGCTTGCAACTGCTACAATGGCGTGCCTGGATGCGCAACTCAAGAATCGTTCTGAAGTGATCGCATTCCTATAAGGAGTTCCGTTGCACCTGCACACATCATCATGGTGAGGTTCCTGCATTTTCCAATATTATGAGGATTCTGCCCTTCCAGACTTTGCCTGGGTTTGAGGATGGCTTTTGGAATTGGCATCTCAGTGGCCAGCAGGTGATCAGCAAGCAGACTCGTTAAGAAAGCTATGTCCCTTTCCATGTTCATCCCAGAGCTGAATCCCTGTGTTCTACCGAGGTGTGCCAATGCACGGATGCAAGTTGCGGCTGTCCTGCGTATGCGACTGGGCCTCACAATTCAGGATGTTTGCAAAGCCAATTTCGCCATGGAGGGTGCCACATGGCTCGTGCAAATGTCAGGCAACGGATCATGTAGTTTCGGCAGCTCTTCACAGAAACTGGTCAACATCTCAACCGGACAGGGGGGGGAACAGCAATTTCGTACCAGGAACTATGTGATCTTGTTTCAACCTGCATGTGCGGATGCCGAAAGGTAGAGCGCAGTTCCCACTTGGAGTTGGAATGTGAGCACGTCCACGCAACAGCACGACTTCGGAAACCCCCATGCGAGAGCGCGGCTCCCAGTTGGAGAGCAAGCATGCTCCACGAGACAGTCCGACTTCGGAAAATGTGACGGGGACCTCCACACCCTGCTTGAATGTGAACACGCTCCACACGACATCGGGAAACCTCAACAGAGAATAGCGTAGGGTGTGGATCTTGGTATGGGCTATTTTAGTCCATTTCGCAAGACATGGTCGCATGACATGAGTAAGTAGTCACGCTCCCGCGTTGTTTGGGGCTTGGCTGAAACGCGAGGCAGCTGTAGAAGTGAAGAAAGATGTCTAATCTTGGTGGCCCTCCTGGAAGAGTTTCTGTTTGTCTGCAGAAGTGAGCTGTTTAAGGTGTAACATGAACCAGTGGAACCGGCGTCGCATTAAAGCGACCGGCCGCGGGTCACATACTAACTTCCCTACAAGACGTTGTGCAACTAAGGTGGCCGGTCATCGATCGCCCTCATTTCATAGCTTTCAACTACCTCATGCATATCATAGGGTTTGCGCCCAGGATGAGAGCTTAGGGCAGATTGGAGTGTCAGTGTTGGTTCTGAAACTACAAACTCACGGCTCATTTGTTCATCATTAAGTATCACACCCATCATCATCGTCATCGTCAGCGACATGAGCAAAAGAAACAGGCGTTTGAACATCATTCAGAATCATCATGACCACCATCATCATCACCACCATCACCATCGTCCTCATTATCGCGGTTTTGGCGGATGCCCGGCTAAGTCTTAGATAGTAACATATAAAAGCCTTTTATGGTGACCAGCATTCTGCTGAGGTCTGTTTAAAGTCATGCCAGGCACCTAGGACTACAAAATTCTTTGGTATCTAAGCTTCTACATTAACCAGCCGTCCTCGTCACACTTGGCCCCGGTTACCACTGCACGGGGGCTGGTTTCCGTTACGCGGCCCCCATTATGCAGCAGACCGGTTCCCGCTACACCCCCACCTGGTTATGAGATCACAGTCTGGCAGAAGAACTACTGCCACGCCGGCCTGATTCTACTTCTATTGCTACTGCTACGGCTCCTCTTACCACCACCACCACCACCACCACCACCACCACCACCACTACTACTGCGGCTACTACTGCGGCTACTACTGCTCGTACTGTTGCTGCCACTTCTTCTTGTCCAGTCCCGCAACAGGTTGGACTGCATTTCTATGCCTTTGACTGCCAGCCAGAGTCAAGCAACGCTTACGTCGACTTCGAGGACTGGATCTCAGCTCGGAAGACGTGATATGGGAGTTTATCAAGAGAACCCGTTTAGCATCTATGAGAGAGGGAACCTCACTATCACCATATTACTTTTCGGATCCCGGAAAGTGGGCTGGCCCCATTTCTGTGCTGGCCGGTTCTAGTCACGGCCGCGCCATGAACTGAAAGCACGAAGTATGTGTTGGCAATGTTTGTAACATGTTTGTACTTGAAAGTCACAGTTGCCTTTGCATGTTGTCGTTGCTGTGCGCATGTAGAGACTTTAAGCACAACCATCGAAACGCATGAGGGTCTTGGAGAGTTCTGGAGAAGCATGATGAGCTAGGTGAGAAATCACACAACAAAGGCAACGAAAGGAATGGATGTTGGTTCTAGAGGCTGCACAGAGAGATCCCTATTCTGAGACATCCCTCAACCCCCTGCTTGAATCTTGCAAGCGGAAGCTTAATAATAGAATCCACGACAAAGCCTACAAGATCCCTGGAACTTGAGATCAGCCAATGCACATCACGCCATTTACTCACTAGAAATTTAGAGTAGTAGTAGTCGTCGCCGTTACTTTACCTCTAGTTCAATTTCTGCTGCCACCGCTATTACCACTACCGCTTGTACCTCCACCGCTAGAACCATTACCACTACCACTATCAGCATTATCAAGATCACTCATACTCTTACCATCGCCATATTATGTTTAACTGTCACTGGTATTTCTGAAGCCAGCAATCCCTGAAGCCTGAAGATTTACAAAGACCTCGCAGCCTGGCACATGAGCAAAAGTCTAAACTCCTAGTATCCCCTTTGATTTGTTAAACCCCTTCAATACTCTGCTGTATGATCCCCTATATAACCCCATTTCAAGGAGTACATACCCTAAACTCTATATACTCCTCTACATAACCCCCCTTCTAAGGAGTTTAGATTATAGCTGACATGGACAGGCGCGGGTGAAGGAGATCGGGGAGCTCATGATGACCTCCAGCTGAGCAATCCATTCCCTTGATGACATCCCCCAACCCCCCCCCAAACATTACGCAATTCTAGTATACCATAAAGTAGGTGTGTAAAAGCACGGGGGGGCGGGGGGTGCATGTAAGAATTCAGAGAAGGCGTGGAGCGGGTTGCCGTTACCTTCATCATTGTCACTTTCTCTATTGTTGCTGCTGTCGTTTAGAGATACTTCTGGATATGGTTTAGCAGAGTAGTCATGACATGACATGAGGATCATAGCAGTACAAGTTCAAATTGCGTAGCAGGACGGCATGCCGAATCTTCTGTCAATCACTCTGTCCTTTAAGCAAGAAACATGGGAGTCATGGGATACGTTTGCGATGTGTCCATGGGAGGTTACACTAGGATTCCAACGGGAATGTGTATGGTTTTCATCGCCTGCAGATCTGTATGTGGGTTTCAGACGGTGTCTCCAGATCACGGGCGTGCTGTTTGAGACCCTTCTCCCAAGAGCCATATGGTTCTCATAGCTGGAGCTCCAGTGGCATACCTGGCAATAGGATCGATTAGGCGCTTTGTCCAAGGGATGGTGGCATGGCTAAAATGCTGGGATCTCGTTTCCTAGTAGTCACATTTGGGCTCTGCATATCAGGCACCCCATACGTTGGACATACCTTTTGGGGCACGTCGCCTTTGGGAATTGCCTTCCAAGGAAATACCCATTCCTCAAAGGCGCCATCGTCAACGAGGCACGCAGAGCAAGCAGCAGCGTCAAGCTCCTTCTGAGCGTATCCACAAGTCTAGAAGCCCAGTCGGACAAAATTGGTCATAATCAAGCCAATATTGCGCAAACACGCAGATGCTGAATTAAATGAATTCTGTCAGACCAATGAAGGGCCAGAACATCCCCCCAACTCGCGTGTAATCTCCAAGGCCCTGCAAACTTCATCTGAATCGGGTTTCGGAAAAGCAGCAGCAAACCAGTCAGTCCGCCTGTGGGGGTCGAAACAGGCAGGCCTGCACATCTAAGTGTCATGCGCAGGCGCTGTGCTGCAATGATGGCGACGAAGACAACCATCACTACAAATCCCCTTCCGTGATACTGCAAGCCAAGTGACTGCCGTCGACATTACATGATCATCTCGTTACTGTGGTCTTGCCATTGTTACTACTAGGACTACCCCATCGCGATTGCTGCAATTATCATGTCTGGAACGCACTTTCAAGGAGCAATGCGTGCGAGCCATATCTTGGTTCCAGGTGGGTATGCTCAACTGCGCTGGTCCGACAGAGGATGATCCCATTTGTGTCCCGGACTCGGGCGAGTTCCCCGCAAAGGACGGTCCGAACTTCAGTTGCTCGGCTTTGGCAAAGAATGAAGGCCCAGAGGGAAAATGGAAAGGCAAAAGGAAGCTACTATTTATGGTTCAGGGTTATCTTACTGGGGGTTAGTAGGGAACAGGGGAATATAGGGTAGAATATACGGTTATGCTAGTGCGCACGCAAAGGATCATTGCGGAACCGGCTAGTCTTCGGATTCGGGACCAGAGGCACCCAAATTTTCAGGCAGGGGATTCACCACTCATAAAGATATACATTCTGAGGGATCCTTTCAGCTGCCTCAGAAGATGCATCCCCAATTTCACAAAGAACCCACAAAGCTTTCAGCATTGCAAGTCAGTAGCAAATTTCTGGGACATGAGGCTGCCCGCCCAATGCTGAACTTCCCAATGGCCTGGCTTCCTTCGTCAAGAAGATCGTGGAGTGGCTGGGTCTTTGTTGGGCTTCCTCTAAGTTATGGGCCCCGCGTTGAAGGTCCCCGGGCCCGAACCGAGGACAGTAGTGCTTAGCGGGTAAAGCGGGGACATCGTGATTTTGAGAGACTGTTCTGGCTGTCACCATGCTTGCTAGTTGCAGCCTGATTCTTGAAGCTATCAATGTTATCAGTATGGCTTAGGGTAGCAGCGATCGGGTTGGTGCCAAGTCTAGCGGGCATTTGGCAGCAGCCCTGAAAATGGCGGGTCACTATTCTGCAAAGTGTATTGGCTGTAGATTTTGCTGGGTGGGAAGCGTTGAGTTTCGCATGGAAATGGGTACTTCTGAAACTAATCCTAGGCGCTCACTGATTTAGGGACCTGAACCCCTTGGGGTCCCTAGGAGTCCCTCATTTTGAGAAATTCCCAAATCTTCTAGAAGAGCCCGCCTCCACGACGTCGAAGGACAAAGCAGAAGCACCAGACAAGATGTATCCCTCCCCCTAGAAATAGGCCCCATCTAACTTGATATTTGAATTTCACCAAAAACATAAACATATTACATATTATTACATTGTACCACAACGTTAATATTCGGGGGTGGGAGGTTTTATTTTTCGGGAAGATGATTAATCACAGGGATGCTTTTGAGAATGATCTTGCAGTTGAGGTGGCTTCCTCTTACGGGCCGGTGTCATACAAAAAGGATTAAAATGCTCAGAGCATTTTGGGGTATATAGGGAGGAACCCCCAACTTTCGCAAATGCTCGTTTGAGATTATAAGGCCCAGGATGACAATCGGTGTCAAGACCCTAACTTTAGGGTTTAGGGTAAACCTTGGGTCAATTTCGGGTCAATCCACCAGCATGGTAGGTATTACTGCTATCAGTTTCTGTCTTATGAAGATTCCCTTGGAATTCTTGACAATAAATGCCCGTAAAAGGATTATTCAGGGATTCTCGGGGCCTCTTGCTACTGTTGGTCATTTCTTGGGAGGGCCCTTCTGAAAGGATACTCATGTTTGCGGGCTTTCATACTGAAGTCTGTTGCCCCAGAAATTTTGTGGGACCTGAACTACTTGGCACCCGAACACCCATGTCATACAACTAGAGTACAAGGAGATGGAGTGGTTAGCAAACATTAGGAGTCTGCAGAGTTCCTGGGTCACTTCAGACTTGAAGCGCTGACCAAGGATTGCAATCGGCGTCAAGACCAGCGATCCTCGGGCAGATTTCAGATTTAGGGTTCAGGGTTCGCGGCTGAGATATGCCTGAAGTTATCATTTGTGCCACTTGTGCCAAGGCCAGATAAGAACTCAACCCTTAAACCTTGAACGCTACAAGACAAGATGGGAGTTTCCCAAATAGGGGGAGCCCAATGTAGACCCCAAAATGCTATAATCCTTATTATTGAGACCCCCCAAAAGGGTATTGGGAAACCCTCAACCCTAAACCCTACGTATCCCTCTATAGAACCCCCTATATAATCCCTATATCCCCCTTAAGAAGTGAACCTTTAATTATTGGGAAACCCCATATACAACAGCCCCTAAATCCATTTGAGTAGTATCTTATTTGGGGATACCATGGTACCCAATATAGAGTAAGATTATATCCTCTATTTGGTGTACAGTATTTTATATAAGGAATATAATCTTACTAGGTTCAACCACCAAAAAAAACACTACTCATGTGTAAAGGTCTTTAGAGCTGAGTCAGGATGGGCGACCTGTCGTGAAGAGCTTTGCTTGGTTTAACCAAGATCGGGAAGGAGGCGCGCAGTGGAGCCACCTTGAGGTTTAGGAGTTTGGGGTTTAGGGGAACCTAATCTTTAGAAACCCCTATATGGGTGGTTGTCAAAATTATGGTCCCTTTTTGGGCGCCCTAAATATTAGGGGCCGTACTATAATAGGGACCCAAAAAGGGACCATACTTTTGACAACGGAACATGGTCTTTTCAGCGAACTGACTAGTGCTTTCAGCGAACC